ATCCCAAGTTACTTTGAATGCTCTCTTCTTCTTTGGAAACTTCTTTTTAATTTTATTTTTATTTTTTAATTCTTGTTTAATGAACTTTTTAAGTTTTATAGTGAGAAGTTCAAGTTCATCATCACTTGAACTTTCGCTCGAGTGGTCTTCATGTGTTCTAAGTGTCAAATCCTTCCTGTTCTTTAGAAGGTTATTCCCAAGTTCATCATATTCAACATGTATCATAAAACTTATTTCATAGGTCATTAAAGACCCAATAAGTTCTTCAATTGGAAAATGGTTCAAGTTCTTTGATTCTTGTATTGCCGTTATTTTCGAATCCCAATTTTTAGAAAGTGATCGTAAAACTTTATTAACAAGTTCAAGATTCGAAAAACTTTTACCAAGAGCTTTTAGACTATTGACGACATCCGTAAAATGGGTGTACATATCTCCAATAGTCTCACTCGGTTCCATTCGAAATAATTCAAAATCATGCATTAAAAGATTTATTCTAGACTCTTTTACTCTATTCGTGCCTTCATGAGTTACTTTTAGTGTGTGCCAAATCTCATGTGTAGATTCACATAAAGAAATACAATTAAACTTATTTTTACTCAAAGCACAAAATAGAGCATTCATAGCTCTAGCATTTAAAGAAAAAGTTTTCTTCTCCAAATCATTTCATTCGTTCATTGGAGTAGAAGACTTTTGAAATCCAAATTCGATTATATTATATAAATCGAGATTTAATGAAAGCAAAAAAACTCTCATACGAGTTTTCCCACTTTTAAGCTCTCTATGCTTGTGTATGTTAACCAAGGATGAGAGGGGTATTTATAAGCCTCAAGTTTATTCAAACTTATAGCCTAAAAATATCTCATCTCGGGTTTCCCGTGTCCTAGTGGTACCACCACTTGTGTTGGGTGGTATCACCGCTTGCAGCACTGACACTAGGCGATACCACCGCCCAGTCTAGCGGTACCATCACCTGGGAGCCTATGTCTGGGCGGTACTATCACCTGACAGAGTCTCGAGACTGTGCTACGATGGTGCCACCTATTGGTTCATTGTTTGGGCCTTTCACTTGGCCCAACACAGTCCATACATGAGCCCAACTAGCCCCTAATTGGGTTGAGTCAATTCCAATCCTAATTATGTGCTACCTATGAATTCTAAGACATTTACTCAGCTAAACAAGTCCGTAAGTCTAGGTTTCTTCCGACGAGCTTCCGACGAACATCCGATGATCTCTCGGTAATGTTCCAACGAACTCCCAACAAGCTACTAGACTTCACAATGATCTTATTAGCGAGTTCCGATGAACTTCTTTGGCAAACTCCTGGACTTCTCGGTCAATTTCGGTAGTACTTCTGACGAACTCTCGAACTCCCAACGAAATCTCGTTCTTGACTCTGGGACTTAATTTTGCTTTATGCCTTAATCACTATCGTAGTTAATCCTTCACAAAGAAAATATACTTCGATCTAGATAATTAATACTAAGCTAATTAGATATTGTCCGGCACGTCATTGGTTCATCGACGCCTCATCCGATTGTTCGGCGCATCATCCTCTCTTGCAGTCTATTGCCCAATCGGCTAGTTAATCTCTGCAACTCTGATTTCCTTGGCGCAATATCTACTCTTCTTGGCCCGATGCCCAAACTCATGGCTCGAAGCTTTCTGTCGATACGTCAACCGATCTTTCAGCTCGACATCCAATCTTCTAACATGTTTTTCTTCGGCCCAACATAATTCTTCCTGCTTTAATTATCTCTCCTTGATCAAAGCATTTTGCGTCACTCTCAAAACGTAAATCAAATCATAAACACTATCAATTGGTCTCATCATCAAAATCCGAGATTCAATAGTTGCTAGCTTGTATGTTGTAAGCTTTCATATCTCTAAAACTTGATAATTGTACTTCTCCTTTTTATTGATGACAAAGAGGGAAAAGATATGATGATATGAGAACCATACATGGTAAGATGTAATATACTTTGATACCTTGATACTATGATGATTTGAAATATTTAAGATGATGCATGCAAAACTTATGATAATGATGCATGCAATGCACTGATATGCATATAATGTGTTGCAAATATTCATGATTAAATTTTCTTTGACTTGAATTCAATTTGAATTTAAGGTTCTATCAATATGACATATTGATAGGGGGAGTTAAGGTTAACTCCGTCATCAATTGATTATCATCATCAAAAAGGGGGAGATTATTGAATCTTAGATTTTGATGATGAAATCAATTGATGTATTTGTGATCTAATCTGCATTTTGAGTGACATAGGACTAGCTTTAATCAGGAAAGATAATTAAAGCAGGAAAAATCATATTGGGCTTGAGTGAAACATGTTAGAAGATTGGACGTCAAGCCGAAGGATCAGTCGACATATCGGTAAAAGAGTTTGGGCCATGGGATTGGACATCGGACTAAGAAGAGCGGAAATTATGCTAAGGAAATCAAAGTTGTGGAGGTCAACTGGCCGATTGGATAATAGGCCGTAAGAAAAGACGATGTGTCAAAGAATCGGACGAGGCGTCGATGAACTAATGACATGCCGGATAACATTTGATTTAGCTTTGTAATAATTGTCTAGATCGAAGTTGGTTTTAGGTGTAATTGGGTTAGAATTGGGCCAACTCAACTATGGGCTAATTGGGCCCAAGTTTGGGTTGTGTTAGACCAAGTGAAAGGTCCAAATAGTGACCCAATAGGTGGAACCATCGGTGACATAGTCTCCGAGATGGTGTCAGGCGATGGTACCGCCCAGATACAATCTCCTAAGCGGTGGTATCGCCTAGTGGCAAGGTGTTAGGCGATGGTACCGCCCAGTGTCAATGCTGTAGGCGATGGTATCGCCCAACGCAAGCGGTGGTACCGCTAGTACCTTGAAAACTAGGGATGAGATACTTTTAGGCTCTAAGTTTGAATCCACTTGAGACCTATAAATACCCCTCTCATCCCTTGTTAACACACACAAGCATAGAGAACTTAAAAGTGAGAAAATGCTATAGCAATTACTTAGAAATCCCCTCCTCTAGTCCTAAAGTTTAGAATTCTATTTAGGGAGGAGTGAGTTCTTGTAAAATGTTGTCTCCTAAACATGTGAAAAGGAGAAGAGGGGTGTAAAATGGTAGTTGATCTTCACCCGTTGAAAGAAGATCATTAGTGGATGCCGATAACCTCGACAGAAGAGGAATCGGCAGAGTGGATGTAGGTCACGACGACCGAACCACTATAAAAATCTGATTTGTATTTACTTCTTGCTATTTACCTTTATTGCAAACTAAATTCTTGCTTTTACTATGTTTCCACGTGCTTTCAAGTTAAGTATTTCTGATATCGATTTTCGTCGAACAAAAAAATTTTCAAAGCCGACGTGATTTTTATCGCTATACTAATTCACCACCCCTCTTAGTGCCGACTCGATCCTAATAGGGTAGAACGTCGATCAACTAATGATTTGAGATTTCTTTTTTATGTGCATTATCCATGTGTGGAAAAACGAGATCGGATGTGGTCATAAAATCTAAATCATGGTAATTTTGAGTTCAATTAATTCCTTCTGAGTATCTGATTCAAATAAGAACATCACGAAAATAAGTATTAATTTAAATATTTTTGTTCATCTGATTACAAACATCAAAATTAAGAAGAATTCAATTCTCATTTTGTTTACAGTCGATCTTGAAATTTATCTTTTTGTAATCAAACTTTTTTTAAAAAAATTATTATATTAAATGAGATACATGATGATGTTCATTCGTGAACTCGAATAAGAAATATATCACTGAATGTTTCAATACAAATTTTTTATAATCAAATGTTTGATTTTTTTTGGGCTCAGACTCGATTAATTATTAACATGATCATCATCATTATTATTAATTAATTACATTCAACCAATGTAGCAGTGTGGCATTACCATTTTTTTTTTCTTATCCTACAGCAGAAAATTCATGTTTCTACAAACTTGGATTGTTTAATGGGACATTCTTCACGTAGATATGAACCCTAATAAAAGAACAGTTCATAGAATAATTTCCCCTCTGTTGCTAAGCTGACATGGATTCTGACAAGGAAACTCTTGTTTTGATGTTGCAGCACACAGCTGGATCGAAAAGATGACTCGAATCCACTGGAACATGTGCAGCAGCGTCATCCGAAAGGTGCTGCCTCTTTGTTTACCCTGACGAACTGCAGTTATTCGGCTCTATGATTCTTTTATTCCTCGTTGGTGGCGTTGTCGTCGTCGTCGTCGGAGTACACGAGATAGTTTCTCGACATCGGTGATGATCCATATGTAGACGCTGTAATTAAGCTGGTCATCGAGGCATTTTTGTTTTCTTCTCCTCCTTTAGATCTCGTAGAGATCGCACTCCTCTTAATCTCCTTACTATCTTAATTGAACACCAGCATTCGTCGCCTGAGATGGTCTTCTGGTGCCACCTTCTTAATAGGTTGCACTCATTTGTACAGACTTCGTGTCCGATATGATGCATGTTGCTGCAGCTTTTGACTCAGATGTTGCTTTCTTCATGAATGGAAGCTGCGTTCTTTTTGCTCCCTTCCGAACCTTTCGTTACTTAGATCGGCAAAGAAGAGCTATTCTTTGAAGAGCTTATATGAGTTCTTACTTGGCTGTGGAGCTCACGGATCAATTGATACAAAACACAGCTACTCTGTAGATTGCTTTCTTTTGACAGGAGAAATATGGACCGCCACAGGAGGAACCAAAATTTAGGATGATCACTGTGATTACCACTTACCCCAACGAATAGTTCAAGCAATGGATGATAAGATTCACTCGGAGGCATGCAGATCATGGAGTAGACACGATGAGAAATCCAATGCATACTCTGCAAACAGTATACCATCTTTTTTCTATTATGAAAATGATGAAGCAAAAACAAATAACACAACGGATTACAGCAAAGAAACAAACTATCGGAACAAAGCAAAAGCATCTTAGAGCTAACTAATATCACAGGAAAGGAATGAGATAATCACTGATAAATTGCAAGCAAATGCTTCAATGGATTACAGTTTTCTACAACTAATCCATAATACAAACACTGCTAGCCAAAACAAGATCACTCCACTGAAGAACTTAACATCTGTTTGCAAAATGCTATTTCACAGGCCTAGCTTGGTTTAGTTAACTCCTGGCAAGGCCATCCTTGGTCAGGTATTAGTTGCTCATCTCAAGTAATGGTACACGACGGTTGGTCTGAATAACAAAATCTTGCTTCCAGAACATGATAGAAAAACTTCCCATAATTCTAGCCATGGGCTATTATCAGAAACATCATTACAGATTCAAGGATGTATGCTTCTGTTCCCCTTCAACACCACTGTCTATCTATCCCAACCATCTGGCCTACTAGCAAACTCCCATTTCGAGGGTAGAGGACCATACAAAGCTGAGAATTTGGACAAGCAGCTGGTTCTGATGTTGTAGTGCACCTGGGTGTTACGACTAATTGCAGCAGTAGACAGCTTAGAGGTATCAATAGCCCAGGCAGGATGAACATATTCCACTGTCCTCCCCAAACTTGCGTTTGCATATAAAAAGTTCATCAGCAAGTCTTCACAATTGAAAGACCGGTCGACAAAGGTTCTTCCTTCTCTCGCTTGCTCGCTCCAATATTTGTTGAAAGCATATTCACTGTCCATAAAAGCAGCACCAGTCAGTATTACATTGTAACCGTTTTTCCCCCGAGCATATCTCTCATTTCTATATTGCGGAGGGCTGCCATCCAGCAGTCGTGGATAGAAGCCGACAAGTCTTTCGGGGTTCTCCCTCCAGACCCTAAACCCTTTCTCTACATCATTGCATGTCATCATTATATCATCATCCAGTTCAAGAACTGCTCTGGTCTTAATCAGAGGGTCCACCTTGAACCTGTTGTTGAGAGAATTATGCTCTTCCACCCGTATCCTCACAGGCACAGCAGAATCAAACTCATCCACTTTCGGAGGGTTTCCTTTATTCCAAACAACTAGTATTTCTCTTACAGATTCACATCGGGAATAGTGTTTGACATAAAGCTTCAAGTTCCAAAGCCGGGCTTCATAAGTCATTGTAACCATTGTAAATTGAGAGTATTGACCTCCAAAGATGTAGGCCTCTTCAGCACCATTGCCTCCCAATAGAAAATGCACAGACATGCACACAAAAGCTATGCCCACAAGAGCAAGGAAGCTCAGAATGAGCTTACCAGAGCATGTTTTAAGATTTATTCTTTCCCTGATGGAAGATCCATATCTGCTCATGCCTGAAATGTATCTCCGGGCTCTCAAGTTTATATACGGGTGATTCCTGAGCCAAGATGTTTCATTTCTCCTACTAGATGTCATGCAACAGTTTGGAGGAAAATTACAGTTTACCGCACCAACTAAGAAGCCTATGAACATAATCAGTAAAATGAGCAGCAGGGTAAATGTGCAGCCCAGAAGAAACCGCATTGTGGAATCACCCGAAGGGACTCGGTCCCCATCCATAACTGCAATCCAGTTACCTGATGAGAGCTGCTGCATATCTAAGTGGTGGTATCTGATGCCATTCCAGGCATTTCGATCTTTCTTTGGTTCTTCAATCCCCAGCTCGACAGGGACCTCCTTGAATTCCTCTTTGCTTAGTTTTTCAACTTTGTAAACTCGGACTTTTCGGCCATATGTCTGGCCACAGTCCTGACCCAAGCGATACAAAGAACCTTCATATATAAAGGGTCTTCCCCCATTTCGAGCTCCCAAACTTTTGTCAGCTCGGTATATAGGATTCCTTGGATGTTGCTTCCAGGGGCCAAGTGGTGAGGTGCTGTACCACACCTCAAGCTCCGCATTCCTCTCAATGCCAAATCGAGTAAAATCTGAAGCAAAGAGCCAATAGTATCCTTCATACTGGATTAATGAGGCATCTATTAGAGGTTTCCTTATGAGGACCTTCTCCAGTGTCCATTTAAGTGGAAAGTTTACTGATCGATAAAGTCGAAGATCTCCTTTTCTGTTCCCCTCAGGCATCATATAGATCTGAAAGGAACTTCAGATTGAATGTCAGATACATTAGCATAGTTATATGGATAAGTATAGAACATTCCTGTGTGCAACTAATATCTTAATTATTGTTGTCAGGATCTGATGGTTCGAAGATCCAAATTTTATCATCAGGATAAATAAGACCATAATTGTAACAAATAATTTCATACTGTGTGAGTTGATACCTAACATGACAAGATTCAAGTTGACAATCTTATTCTTATACCAACCGATTGTGTTCTATAATACATAAAAATATTTTCCATGTTTTAGAATGAGTTGTTCGTAAAAGAAAAAGTTTATCAGATTTCCAAAAGAAAATTAGGATGTCACGCAACCTTTTAGAATAGATTATCAAAATTTACTACTTTTTAAAGGTAAAAGTTAGATACTTTTTTTATTATATTTGGATTTGATAACAGTTCCCAAATTTTGACAAAGAATGATGATGTATTGAATCATTTAAAAGAGCTTAATTAAAATAAAGAATTGTGAGCATGTTATGGAAGATTTGGGAAAGTTGCACCGAGTTTATTCTCATAGAACCAATAACCGTGTTACATTTACAATTTTTAGACATAATTCTTTCCTATTATCCATTCATTCAATTTTGAACTAACTCATGTTGTTCCGGTATATTCACAAATGTTAGAAATATTAAAGCATAAAAAATATATATAAACATATCTTAGATTCCATGATTCCTTTGAGACTAGATCCTGATTCTGAGAGCATTAATCTTATTTATTCTGTGGAAAGCTACAAATCTCAACTTGTTTTGGATACCTGGTTCTGGTAGCTGAAAACAAATGGGTAAGACAAATGCCAGTCCTCCCGTAAAGCAATGCCCAGAAATTCCCATGTGCCACCTTGGTCAAAGCTTCTTGCCACACCTATATTACCTTTCATCATAGTGGTACTTTTTGACTCAAAGAACAAGTACAAAATGGAATCCTGAACAAAATGAACAGCATCAAATGTAAATGTATTCATGCAACACTGAAAAATCATGGTTAGAACATGAAATAAATTCATGACAACCTAAAAGCATATATGTACAAAGTCAGGCCAGAAAGGATCATTTATAAACCATTTTACCAGAGCTTGAAATCATAACATAATGCAAATCAAAGCACTCCAGGGAATAAGTAACACACTCAACAACAAACCGTAAACACAAAAATCATGAACTCCTTAGAAGTCTAAATTCGTCTCACATGAAAGCAACATTAAGAGGCACAACAGCTTCCATGAGCTTATGCAGCTGACAGCATGATATAACAGTAAGAGTTTTTGCCTTTGAAAAGAGTAAGAGTTTTTTCTACTCTGAACACATAATAAGAACAATAGGGCAGCAAGGAAATGGACAGGGCATGCCCTTCAATCCGAGCAAACATAAACAGAATACCAAAGTCACCATCTATATGAATAAGCCATCTCCATAATTATACCTGGGGTGCTCATTAATAAAGATATATCAAAGAATTGCATATGAGCTTGCGATAAGCCATCCACAAATTATCAGCAGCATGGGCTTGAAAAGATTTACACAATATACCAGGTCAGCAGCCCCAGTTTTAATCATCTTGGATATGTCACAAATTGTTAAAATACCTCTCTATGTTCCAAAATATATAATCCAAATTCAAGTCTGATTCGAATTTCTCTCTCAGCAAAGAAATCCCAGAAATGCATTATTTTTTTCAAAACAATTTCAAATCAGATTGAAGCACTTGAAGTCAGGTTAAAATCTTGACCCATTGTGGAAGCCAGGACAAGTAGATCAGTTATCAGCATTTTCACATAATGCATGATCAAGTATCTGTTATTGGAGTTGCTTCTCCGTGCTAACCCTCGGATCAAGGGATCACTCAGAGAGTAGGTTATGTTTTAAGTGTAGCCCATAAATTATGTCTTTAAATGTGTCATTAACATCAACATATCTGTGAGCTTTATATCACAGGTGGGGGTAGATGGAAAAGAATTTAACATAACGAAGTTAGATATGATTATTCATGTAAAGAAAAAGATGCCCTTATATCATGCTACATATTGCATGCTGCAAGTTACTATTTTCAGCAGATAAAATGCAACCAACAAGATGCGAGACATTAATGTGAATATTATGGTTGTAATGCGATATTCAAATAGTTACAGCACTAAAAGTCCAAAGAACCTTCACTTAGAACATTGGATGAGACATCTGAGAATGGTCCACACATAAATCATTTAACATTACTTTTGAGGTTGGTCCATCGAGGTCACTTGTGGATCCTAACTTAAATATAACCAAAGCAAATAATTAGCCAACATAATTATAAATTGAAAGGGGCATTGTTCTGTGCCAACTTAAATACATCAATGGGATCCTTGCCTCCTACTTCAAAATATTCATGTCGTATCTCATGCTAAAGACAATATCGAAATTTAGCACTTCAGAAGTAGAGGATTCAACTTGACAACTAATACGTCCACAATCCAAATCTCTCACCTTTTTTCTCCCAAACAAGAATAAGGACGATGGCAAGAGAGAGAAGAGGGGTTGCCAACCTGAACATAGAGGAATGGATCAGCGACGAAATTGGTTGGATACCCCGCATTCGACGGCGACGCACATGTTAGCACAGGGTTCGCAATCGGCCACGCCGAATTGTTGGACTTGTTGCTACCGTGCTGCTTTCTCGAAGAACACAATGAAAGATTATAAATCATCGATCAGGATGAAAAAAGGAGCTAACTTCACAAATCAGACATGGATACACATTAACAAGACGGAATCCGCGGAACCCACCAATTCGATGGGGGAAAGCGAGAAGGGGCTGCTTCCATAGAACACGCCGATGGACCAGGAACCCTCGCTGTCCGGCCCGCACCCGTCGACAGCCAAAACGGGGGGGCGGCGGGAGGAGGAGACAACGAACAGGAAGAACGCAACGGCGACGATGCCGGAGGCGAGGAGGGAGCTGAGGAGAAAGGAGACCGCAGAGGGTGAGCAAGAGAGGAACCCCGTGGCCGCCAACCTCCACCGGATCCGCGGCGCCATGAAAGCCGCAGCCGCAATCCCAGACAGCCCTGAAATTTCCCGCCCTTATTCTCCCCACCTCCGGAATCGGAGCCCTCGCATCCTGTCTTCAGATGGGAGAAAGAATGGGCATAAGAAAAGCGAGGAAGAAGAAGAAGAAGCCTGCCTCGAATGGGAGCTGGCAGAAGGGGGAGATCTATAAATGCGGGTGGAGGAGAATATTGAGCATAATTTAGATCACGAGGAGGAAATGGACGTTAGACGAACCCAGGAAGCAGACGATGAAGAAGAAGAAGACGGCGTCGTCTGTTGACTTCAAATCTTGAGTAGAAAACGGACAAAGAGAGAGAGAGAGAGAGAGCGACAGAGAGAGAGAGAGAGACGCCCCTCAGCTTTGCAGATTCGTTAACGGACGAGAGAGAGAGAGAGACGAAGAGAGGCGCCCTTCCGCTTTGCAGATTGGTTCACGCATGGATGGATATTGTGACGGGGGCATCGAGGAAGGACAATAGTGAAAAGAAGGCCTAAAATAATCGGAGTCTGATCTAACCCAAATATATCAAGAATCTAAGATTTCTAATATGCTGATGCCTCAGATCTATTTTTCGGACATCACATAGTAATATACAATAGAGCAGACTGTGGAACATGTAATCCCAATGTGCATTTTATATTTGGTGTTGCCTATTCTAATTAATGGCAACAAAATCTGACGCCCACCGTGTGCTGTCACGTTGGGGCACGGGTGTTCGACATACTGATGCAGAGCAATGCTTCAATCAAAAGGAATGCCGCAACTTCAATCGCACTCAAATTCTTTGACACATAGATGAGCTCAACAATTGCTGCACCTGCGAGGTTGCTATAATTGGGGACGCAGTGACACGAGCATCAGACGAAATGCCTTCGTCGTTGTCCGTCTTTCATGTTTGCGTTTTTCACCTTATCATTATATGCCCGATCACATGAATTTCATCTCTATATTTTGTCTGAAGATAAACTTATTAGATTATATGATTGGTAAGATATATTATAAATCTATTTAAATTTTAATTTTAATTTTAATTTTTAGTAAATAAAAATAAATTTTAATTATGATGAAAATCTTCATGAAATTTATGAAAATTTCTTTCTTAATTATTTATCTTAGACTCCATGCTCTCACCTATAAATGGATAGGATCTCCTACCACTCAATATGTTATGTGACATTAAGTTATATATTGAGATATTATATATTTTCTTTCATTTTCACTTAGTTCATATTTTATGACTTAAAGTGGTTTATGAAAGATAAAAAAGAAGAGAAAAGATAGTCTAGTTTTCCTTTTAGATCAATTTTTTTTTTTAATGGCATCAAAGGTGGTATGTCATTGGTTTATCGACTCTTCGTCCGATTATTCAGCGCATCGTCCTCTCTTGCGACCTATTGCCCAATCGGCCAGTTGACCTCCGCAACTTTAATTTCCTTGGTGTAATTTCCTCTCTTCTTGGCCCGATGCCCGAATCCATGGCCCAAAGTCTTATGTCGATAAGTCGACCGATCCTTCGGCTCGACATCCAATCTTCTGACATGTTTTTCTCCGGACCAACATGATTCTTCTTACTTTAATTGTCTCTCCCTGATCGAAGCTTCCTACGTCACTCAAAACATAGATCAAATCATAAACACTATCAACTGGTTTCATCATCAAAATTCGAGATTCAACATTTATGCTTATAATTGGTATTAGAGTCATATTTTAAAATTAAATACCTTAAATCATAATAGTATGCCAGATTTAATTTATATTTTGATTTGTTTGTTAGCAACCTTTGCTTGTAAAAATGTCTGATTCGATTTTAATTATACGATGCTTGAATGATTCATTTGTATTCTCGATATGCTTTCTTATCTCATTCGTCTTGTTCGATCTTTAAATTTATTCCTCCATGCTCCTTGCCTACTTACAATGCGAGTGGAACTACGACAAAAGTATTTTGCATATATTTGTTCGACAGGCTACTGTCGATAGCATGCTATCGATTAGAGCACTGTTAAGAGCGTTAGCCTTCATTGGTTATTAGCTCAATGATTGTGTAGTTGGCAGCATCGTTACATGCAGTAACGGTTGTTGTACAGCAGCCTAGGTAGCAGAAGTGTTGCGACGATGTTGCTGCATACGATGGTTGCCACCGTGGGCAGTAGCTGCCATAGGTGGCATTGTTGCTGCATGCAACAATAGGATTCGATCATAAGTGGCACTACGTACATAGCGGTGGCACGATATCATCAACTACATACGGTGGAATAGGTGTTGAATCTCGGATTTTGATGATGAAGTCAATTGTCATTTGTTATCTAATCTATATGTTGAGATAAGTGTGCAAGATTAACTACGATGAAAAAAAGATATGCAGCAGGAGTTGCGCCAGAGTTAAGACAATGATCACGTTGGGAGTTCGAGAGTTCGACGGAAGTTCAGATAGTCGTCAGAGGTTCTACGGGAACAAATCCGAGAAGTCCATGAGCTTGCCAAAGAAGCTCGTCGGAACTCGCCAAGTGGATCGTCGCAAGTCCAGGAGTTTGCCGGAAGTCCGCAGGAGCATCACCAAGGGTTCATCGGATGATCGACGGAAGTTCGCTGAAAGCTCGCTGGAAGAAGCGATTGACGCATCGGAGCAAGTTGCAGTAAATGTCTTAGGAAATATCGTAGTTAGCACAATGATTAAGTTGGAAATGGGAGGTGATCCCATTAACTTAATCTTGGGGCAATTGGGCCCCTGAAAAACCCAAATTGGGCCGAATGGATCAACCCATTCGGACCCTGATTTCTGCTAGGCGGTTGAACCGCCCAAGCCAGGCGGTGGCACCACCTGGGCTCAATCTCCGAGCGAGACTGGGCAGTGCAACCTCCCCTAACAAGAGGTGGCACCGCTTGGGCTCGGTCTCCGAGCTCTGGCTGAGCGGTGCAACCGCCTCAGTCAGGCGGTGGCACCGCCTGAGCTCAATCTTCGAGCTTTGGCAGGAGGTGCAACCACCCCTGATAAGAGGTGGCACCGCCCAGAGGCTCAGTCTTCAAGCTCTGCCAGGCGGTGCAATCGCCTCAGTCAGGCGGTGCAACCACCAGATCCCGGAATTCCGGGAATTGACAATTTTGAGCTCTAAATTCAAACTGGGTTGGGGCCTATAAATACCCCACCCTTTCAGCACTGAAAGGGCACCCAAAAACCACCGAAATTCTGATTTTACTTTGTGATTTTTACAGCTCAAAAGTGTTGTATGAGTTGAAGGTTCTTCTTCCTCTTTTCTTCCAAGTTCTAATCTGTTAAGAGAGGAAAGGAAATTCTGTAAGGGTTGTCTCCTAAGCCCGTCAAAAGGAGTGAAACTTTGGAATGAATTGTCTCCTAAGCCCGTCAAAAGGAAAGTCTGTAAGGGTTGTCTCCTAAGGATCTTTCTTATTTCTATGGATTTTGAACTTTGGAATCTTGTCGAAAATGGATTTTCGAAGTCTTCTCTTCCAATGATCGATTGGAATGAATTGGAGAAGAAGGCTTTCGCTCTTAATGCAAAGGCTATGAATGCCTTATTTTGTGCAGTTGATAAAAACGAGTTCAACCGTGTTTCGGTTTGTGAAACCGCATTTGATATTTGGCACACACTCGAAGTGACTCACGAAGGCACAAGTAGAGTGAAAGAGTCAAAAATCAATCTTTTGTTACATTCTTTCGAACTTTTCCGGATGAAACCAAGTGAGACTATTGGCGACATGTTTACCCGTTTCACGGATGTTGTCAACGGTCAAAAAGGACTCGGAAAAATTTTTTCAGAATTTGAGCTCGTAAATAAGATTCTTAGATCCCTTCCTAAGAGTTGGGATCCTAAAGTCACTGCTATTCAAGAGGCGAAAGATCTAAACTGTTAGGATCGGAGCGGCACTAAGAGGGGGGGTTGAATTAGTGCAGCGGATTAAAACTTCAGTTTTAGAAAAATCTTTCGTACGATAAGAACGGAACTTGAAAGGCTTAACTTGAAAGCGTATTCTTGAAGTTGCGCAGCAAAGGTAATAAGCAACTAAAGCATGTAAGAAGGTTTGCAGTAATGTCAATAGCAATAATGAAATGCAAACCAGAGATTACGCCGATTTTAGAGTGGTTCGGTCAAATGACCTACATCCACTTGCGAGGCCCCTCTTCGATGAGGCTCCCACCTTCCACTAGCAAATCTCTTGAAATGGAAGGGTAAATTCCCCTCTTACAACCTTTTACAAGCAGTTCAACCTCTTACAAATTTTCAATAAGAAAGAATGAGGAGAAATCTCTAGCAAATTGAAAACAAGACTTGCTAAGACTTTCTAAGACTTTTCTCTCAATCAAATGCTTCTCAAAAGTTGTAATCTCAGCTGAGATTTGAGGGGTATTTATAGGCCTCAAGGGGATTCAAATTTTGGGCTCCAAAATTTGAATTCTCTTTGGGTTCCCGATGCTGGCGGTGCCACCGCCCAGCCAAGCGGTGCCACCGCCCAGCGCTCGGGTGCTGAACGGTGCAACCGCCCAGCCCAAGAGGTGTCACCGCCCAGCTCTCGGGCGTTGGGCGGTGCCACCGCCCAACCAGGCGGTGCCACCGCCTGGCTCTCCGGTTCATTGGTATGGCTTAATTTTAGCCCAAACCAAATCTAACTTTGGGCCTAGTTAGCCCCTAACCAGGATATAGGATTATCTCTTAATCCTAATCCTAATTACAAGTGAACTACATAACAAAACACATCCTAAGCAAGTTTTCAACCGCGAACATCGAGTCTTGTTTTTGCGAGCTTTCCGACGAACTTTCTTCCGACGGACTCTCATCAAGCTCCCGATCTTGTGATGACTTTAACGAGTAGCCGAGCCTTCTCGGTGATCTCCGTGAACCTCCGACGATCTCTTCGGTGAACTTTCGAAAATTCTGATAAGTTCCCGATTTCTTCTCCGTTGGTTTCGGCAGCATCTCCGACGATTCTTCGGACTCTTAAACGTCCATCGATCTTGACTCCGGTATTCTTGCTTTGTGTTTTCTGGTTATCGTAGTTAATCTTGCACACTTAACTCAATAATATGGATTAGATCAATTAACCCATCAATTGATTTCATCATCAAAATCCGAGATTCAACAATCTCCCCCTTTTTGATGATGATAATTAATTGATGATGGAGTTAAACATAACTCCCCCTATCTATATGTCATATTATGAGAAGATGAAAACACTTGAATTCCATCCATAGAATTCAAGCATAAACTGATAAG